CGCGCGGGGCCTGCAAGGGGCGTGGGGAGGTGCGCTGGAGAGGAGCCGGGACAGGGTCGCGTCCTCCGCAGCCCAGGGTCACAGCTGGGGCGGTGCTTGCAGAAGAGGGATTCTCCACTACTATTTTATTTTTTAAATTTGTTTTTATTGTTGGCAGTATTACAGATGTTCCCCATCTCCCCTCTTTTGCCCTCCCGCCTCCACCCCAGGCCTTCACAGTACTATTGTCTGTGTCCATGAGTTATGCATGTAAAGGGTGTCCCAAAACCATGTATACACACTTTGAATAGTTATAAAAGCAGTGTTTATTAAAATGCATTTCATTTTCAAAATTGAGCTATCAGTTGTTAAAGTGTGTGCGCATCTGGGGGGGACACCCTGTATGCATCTAGATGCTTTGGTTAATCTCTTCCCATCCTCCCTCCGCCCCCCCCCCCCCCCCCCCCGTTCCATGCATCCATGTCTTTGGACCTATTTTTGTTCCTCAATTTATTTTGTTCATTACATTCCACATATAGTGAGATCATGTGTTATTTATCTTTCTCTGGCTGGCTTATTTCACTTAGTATAATACTCTCCAGGTCCCTCCATGTTGTCTCAAAGGGTAAGAGATCCTTCTTTTTACAGCTTCATAGTATTTCATTGTGTAAATGTACCACAGCTTTTTATCCATTCATCTGCTGATAGGCACTTGGACTGTTTCTAGACCTTAGCTATTGTAAATTGCGCTGCTATGAACTTAGGAGTGCATTCTTTCGAATTGGTGTTTCGGGATTCTTAAGATATATTCCCAGAAGTGAAATCTCTGGGTTAAAGGCAGTTCCATTTTTTATTTTTTGGGGAAACTCCATACTGTTCTCCACAGTGGCTGCACCAGTCTGCATTCCCACCAGCAGTGCACGAGGGTTCCTTTTTCCCCATCTCGCCAGCACTTGTTGTTTGTTGATTTGTTGATGATAGCCATTCTGGCAGGTGTGAAGTGATACCTCATTATTGTTTTAATTTGCATCTCTCTGATGATCAGTGACTTTGAGCTTGTTTTCATATGTCTCTTGGCCATCTGAGTAGACACTTTGGAGAAGTGTCTATTCAGGTACTTTGCCCACTTTTTAATTGGATTGTTTGTCTTCCTTCTGTTGAGTTGTATGAGTTCTTCATATATTTTGGAAATTAACCTTTATCAGATGTATCGTTGGTGAATATGCTTTCCCATACAGTGGGTTCCCTTTTCATTTTGAGGATGGTGGGGGCCTCAGAAGGTTTGTTTTTATCCTTAAAATATCTCTTTAAGCTGTGTCCAAGATGTGTGTCCTTCTTTTCCTGCTTTAGGACCACGGAGAACCCAGAGTGTTTGGTGGCTGTGGTTCTTTGGGGTTGAGGCTTCGTTCACCTGCTGAGACCCCCTGGGTGTCGCTCAGCGGGAAGACTTTAGGTCTCTCTGGGGACTGGATCCTGCACAGGCCCCAGGAGCCCGGACCGCTGCCCGCCCCCACACTGACAGGCACTGGGTCCTTGCTTTCCCTTCTCCGGACCTAGATTTCCTCTTCTGAGTGGGTAAGTCTTTAAAGTCCCTTCAATTTTTGGTGCATTTGAGGGACAAAGAAACTTTCAACCTCTCTCATAAATTATCTACATCAGCCACGCGCCTCACATTTTTACTCTTCTTTACATAAAGAACACTCGCCCTAGCCGGTTTGGCTCAGTGGATAGAGCGTAGGCCTGCAGACTGAAGGGTCCCGGGTTTGATTCTGGTCAAGGACACATGCCTGGGTTGTGGGCTTGATCCACAGTAGGGGGCGTGCAGGAGGCAGCCAATCAATGATTCTCTCTCATCATTGATGTTTCTATCTCTCTCTCCCTCTCCCTTCCTCTCTGATATCAATAACAATATATTTTAAAAAACCAAAACACTCCGTGTCATCTCTGCGTCATTGTGAGCTCCCATGTGCAGGTATCTACCTCGAGTATTGTAAAGGCGCCCTTCTCTCTCCCATTTCTGCCTGTGTTCCCTGGGGTGGGAACGTGTCTGTTTGGCGTAGGGACCCCCACCTCTGCCACCACCTGAAGGCGTTCACCGGCTGTGGGAAGCTTGCTATGGGGCCGGCTCCAAAATGCAGGAGTGCTCACAGGTTCCCAGCCTGGGCCCTCTATCCTGCAGGGATACGGCCTCAGCTTCCTCACCCCTCCATGGGTCTGTGGGAACCAGGCTCGCCCAACAGGACCACTGCCTCTCTTTGCCATGGTGATTGGTTTAACATAGAACAGTGATTCAAATCTAGCCAATCTGATTTTCTTTGGACTTTTTCTACCAGAGCTATGGAGAGAGACACCCCACCTCTCAACTGGAGTTGCATAGCGGGAAGATTGTGGGGGACACCCTGCAGCTCTCCTGACATCTTACAGAGGGAGGACCTTGTGAGAATTCAGCTTACCATACCTTTGCATTAGGCCCGGCCACGTGGACATTATCTTCTTGCCAAGGGAATGTAAACAGTGATGTACCCCTCTTCCTAGTCTGGACCTTAGAATTTGAGCAGGCCTTCTCCCTCGCCTGGAGGCAGGACGTACAATCAATAACAATAGAGGAACCAAAGGTGTAAGAAATTTACCAAGACTCATTGTTTGCTGGTTCACAAAGCAAACCTTAACAAATTTCAAAGGATCCAAAGAATTTTGAACATTTTCTATGACTTCAGTGGAGCTAAGCTGCTTGGAAATTAAGTAATACACTTTAAAAAATTGAGACATACTTGACATTTCATTCTATTTGTTTTAGGTGTACAACATAATGATTGACTAATGAAAACTGCAGTCCCTACACTGAAAATGATAAAATGTAAATTTTAAAGCACAAAATAAGTGGAAGAATATACCATGTTCAAAATGGGGAGACTCAGAATTGTTAAGCTGTTGATTGTTGCCAAAAAGTGACCTGTAGATCCAGTGCAACCCAAACAAAATGGCTACAGAACTCTGTGTGGAAGCGGACAAGGCAATTCAAAATTTATCCAGAAATGCAGAGGACCAAGAAGAGCAAAGGCCATCTTGAAGAAGAAAGTTGGAGGACTCACACTATCAGATATCAAGACCTGTGAGCCCGGCCAGCATGGCTCAGTAGCTGAGCGTCAACCTATGAACCACATGATCACGGTTCGATTCCCGGTCAGGGCATGTAAAAAAAAAGGACTGTGAAACATAGTATTTAACTACAAAGCTGTAGTAATTGAGAAAGTATGGTTTTGGCACAGGGAGAGGCAGACCAAAGGAAAGCAACCCACATATATATAGTCACTTGGTTCATGATAGAGGTGACATCAGTGGGAGAAAGGATGGTCTTTTTGATAAATGGAGCTAGGTCACTGCATATCCATTGGACGACAAATTATTCTCAAGCTCTACCACACAAAATCAGTGGTAGATTCATTGCAATCGAATGC